ACTAGTGATTATATTTTGTATATTCTATAGAAAATTTCATGTACATTTTAATAAAAGAAACTGTTTATCAACATTTGTATATGCTTTTCGTTTTATCGACATAAAGTTGAGATGACTGATTTGTAAGCGATTTCAAGTGCCTTGTTGCGAGTGCTTGAAACTATAAAATGAACAAACCTATTCCATCCGAGACTTGTAACTAAAGTAAAATAATCAATCCAACATAATTAAGCGTCAACACATAAATCAAGGCACTTGGATCTCGCATTTGTTTTTATCAACACTTGCAACACGACCCTTTTTTTCTGTTGCGTGTTATATTTTATAATTGTATTTGGTAAGTTATTATATACATTCATTCATATATAGTACATTCTATATGTACAAAAACCTGGATTTATAATTTACAAATTTTGAAAATACACCTCATTTTACCTATTTAAACGATTTTTTATTATCTTTCCTGAGTTTACCATAATGTATTTAAAATAAATTATAGACATGACACATTGTGTACACACTGTTTTATTGAAAATTTTATGGAGAATCCAAATATACGTTTGTGAAGGGTATTTTTACAAAATAACAGAGAAATCGGCAGAACAATGCAATCGTTCCCACCCAGCGGGCGGGCGGTCCATAAAGAAGTCCGGCACTTGTAGGTGAGAACGGCGTATGTCCTTTGGCTCACGAGAGGTTTAGAGAATAAGCTTACGATATTTTTTTCTAATATTTTATAACGTTATTAAAAAAGTAATAACGTTATGAAATAACGTTATTACATTTTTCTAATATTAGGGTGTTTTATATGACTATGGTAACACTGGCTAATGCACTACATACATAAAAAACCGGCTTCACTTTTTGGTTCGGCAGACTCCGTCTATACTTTTTATTTGGTCTGAGAGCATAGACGATACGAAAACCAAGTACCGGTGGTCGCTATCCGGCACAGTAAGTTTAAATAACATAGGCACAGCGGTGATACTCTCTGTACGTGAGAGTTCCAGCGTCAGTGACCTTGGAGCAGGAGCGTGTATGCGCTAGGGTTGAACTTGGAATTAAGACTTGTGCCAATGAATATTTATCGACGCTTGAAAGGAAATGTTGACTAAGCGACATTTTTGGTCATATTGAGTTAAGTATACAGTTCGAACCGTCTGATTTTTCTGCGTCGATTTGTCGTTGTCACGTCTTTCTACGTCGACTTTTGATGTCGCTTATGCATGACGGATTTTATGAATTTTCAGTTTTTTTTGTCTCTAAGAGACAAAAAGTTTGGCATATTTTTAAAAAATGTCGGTAGTCGTAGCTATTACAAGTAAGTTTTGCCCTTGGTAATTATTTGCATGTTGTTGGTGCAATAATTTCTTTACTTAGATTATTTTGATTACACGTGTAAATATAGTTTTATGCGTATGGTACACTTCTTCCCGACAAATATTTTTTTTTATAATCGCTTATCTCAAATTGACTGAATTCAATTTGTTTTTTGACGGCGTTTAGTTAAAAATGCCTATTTTATGTTTTAAACAACACACCTTGTTCACCTTTGACTACTGATCTTATGGACACCACTTTCTGTCGGTTAGTAAATTATTACCTGCCGTTGTACAATATTATTTTAATATTTAGTTAAGTTTAACCTGAAGTTACGTTATTACTAATTGACGGTTATACCCTACGGGTAACTCACGCAAAGGCGTTTAAACTTTTTTTACTTGAATTAAATACATTGACAATATGTTGGTTATACCTACGGGAACCTAGTGCGCGCTCGCTTATTCCTACCGTGTTAGCTTCAAAGTAACAAAGAAAGCGATGGGACGTCGCTTCGACATCACGCGCGCGTTCGTTGCAGCAAAGCATACGGAAACTGTAAGTTTACCGCACGAACTTTTATTTGAATAGTTTTAATTGTTTTTCATTTTAGAATAAAGGATTATGTGTGTTTCAGATCAATGCAATAGAACTAAGAAAAAATATATGTTATATTTTGGAACAAGCTCTCGAATGCTCGGGAATTAACGGTAATGAAGAGCTATTGGCCTCTTAAAAGTCTAGAAAAGTTTGCTCGAAAAACCGTAAGAACATCCAGCTAAATCTAAGGCATTGGAATCAAAGGAAAACAGTTATAATAAATCATAATTAAAAGAATGTAATAAAATACTATCCAACTGCACTTCAGTTGTACTGACCGACAGCGTCACGACGTATTACCGAGGATGCAGAGAACTATAACCATGAGGAAGTTTTTGATCAGACAAAGTTTGATTCTTATGATGGTGCAGGTTCTTCGACGATTTATTTCGTCCCCCCGCAGAATAACGAAATTGCCCCCACAAACTTACCTTCATTAGCTGATGTCGCCACAGATCCTGACCCTATGCACGAATCTGACCCACTAAAATCATTTTCGATGAATAAAGCCGCTGCAGATCCTAACCCCTCGCTGAAAGAAGCAACTGCCCCACCATACTTATTGTCGATAGATGATATCGCCGCAGAACCTGCCCTCGCACAGAATGAAGAAAGTGCCCCACCACACTTACCGTCGATAGATAATTCCGCCTCAGAACCTGAACCCTCGTAAAATTAAGAAGAAACACGTATGGTGGGGCACTTTCTTGTCGACATATGATTCCGTTGCAGATTCTGACCCTTCACAGAATAACATTACCCCAACAAACTTACATTTGATGAATGATGCCGCCCCTGAACCTAAGCCTTCGGAAAATGAAGAAACTGACACACCATACTTACCGTCGATAAATGATGCCGCTGCAGACCCTGACCCCTCGCAGAATGACGAAACTGCCACATCACCTCACCTTTGATGAATGATGCCACCACAGATCTTGTGCCCTCCAAGAATGATGAGACATTCCCACCATACTAACCTTCGATAGATGATGCCGCCGCAAACGATTCGCAACACGAGGAAATAATCTCACGTACAAACAACTAACCTCTGATTGATGATGCTGTTCCAGGTATATGTAATGTCAAAACAAGTACCCGATACATGGACTACATGTTTGATGAAGATTTCTCCACCGTATTTGGGTCTACTGTAACTGATTCCGATGAATGGGCAGGATCGTAAGTGTTAGATAGTAGTTAAGAACAAAGCCAGACAAATAAGAAGAAAACACAAAATAAACTCAAAAAATAAACGAAAACTGTTGAACAAAAATAAAAGTGGTGAGAAATTCAATAATATTACAAAAAAGGTTGGTTGGCATGACTATTAAAGAACCCGTTAAACATAATCGTTTTGATTCAGAGAAGCGTTCTAATACGTTTAGGTATTATATTACTGAAGGAGAAGGGAAAAAGAGTTTTATACTTACAGTTTTTGGCAGCAACGTTAGATATATTGAAAAATGTATATATTACACTGTTAGAAATGCTAGTTGTGGAAGTTCTAGAGACGACTTGCGCGAAAAGTGTGAACTACCTAACAAAACTAAACCTACTAAACAGGCTGTCGTTAATTTTATAAAATGTCTACCAGCAGTCACATTACTGTCGTCAAGATTCCAACAGAGTTTACTTACCTCAAGAATACAAAAATGTTTCCAGCTTATACAGCAATTATAGAAAACGCTTTGTGAATGCTGGCATAGATTTAGTAAGTGAAAGGACTTTTAGAAAAATATTTACTGAAGAGTTTAATGTCGCGTTCTATATCTTCAAGAAAGATAAGTGCTTGAAGTGCCTACAACTGCAACAGGCAGATATTAATAATTCAAAGAAAGAAAAAGAAAAGGGAGATCATGAAACTGAAAAAGAAGAAAGCTTCAATAAATTTTCGACTGATAAATCTATATCTGGTAAAATGACTAAAGTTCGTATCGTGACATTCAAAAAAAATAGACCCTTGACAATTTCCATAAAAAAATCAATGAATATTTCTCCAAACTCTTTTGACGTCAAAGTTCAATCCAAAACCAAGGTTCCATTAATGTCTTGCTGGCGATCACAGTTGTCGATATCAAATGCTAAATACGACGATCTTAGGAAACTTTGCAAAGATCAAGTAATACCCGCTCAATTCCATCAAGAGAGTACTCAATCATACCAAAGGCAAATAATGTTAAAGATTCTTTACTCGAATCAGAAGATTACGAATTTTCGACTGATTAGCTGGGTATTTTGAAAAAGTTCTCCCTAATTATGTTTTATATAAGTCTTCTTAGAATTCTTTTTTGTATTACAGCTCACAGGCTTAATTTTTTACATATTTTACATACCATTTTAAGTGGGTATAAAACTTTATTGTTCTTATTAAGTAAAGTCCTAAAGTACAATGTTAATAATTAATAGGGACTGTAAGTCTTAAAGTTGATTTATATTTTATTTAGAACTACTTCAAGAAATATTCCTACTAAATATAGCTCAATACTATTTAAAACTGCATTTTTCTTTATATTTCTGTTAATATTTAATGATCCTAATTTCGATGACAAGTATTACTAAGTAAAATTTGCTGAGAAAGAATAATAATTAAAAAATAATTTAGACAATTTTCACTCCATTTGAAACCACTTGTGATTTTGGTTAGGTAACTTTTGCTCTGATATCATTCTTTACAGCTCCTCTATATTACATTTTGACTTTACATTTCTAGATCAAAACTTGTCGGTTAGTACATTTTTCCCGTCACTATTTTAAGGTAAAATTTTCTAAGCGACACTTAACTTTTGAACCAATAACGTTCTTGAATTGTTGTTTAAGCTTCGATGTAGGCCATAAAATAAGATTTCCGAAACAGTCAGAATTGCGCCCGTGGGATGATTGCAAAAAGTTATACGATTTTTTTTCTGAAAATCCAAACTTTAAACTGCTCTCCTGTAAAGTTAGCTTAATGTCGCTTAGTCAATATTTCCTTTCAAGCGTCGTTATGCATAGTAAGTTATTAAATGTTAACTGATTCAAGGATACTGGAGTAAATAATGAAGGATAGGTTTGATTTTATAATCAATTTTTAATCTTTTAATGTAGGTACTATAACAAATTGCTAACTTCTATATATTTTCTCCTTTTTCGTTTTTTTTTTTATAATTCTTATTATTATCTAAATAATAATAACATGGCGTAGCGTAGTCAGTCTGTGTGTGCAATTCAGTGCAACGCTATTATTTTACTATTTCGCTACTGCCATGCCTTCGGTCGAGGCAGTCGGCGACTGCCCTCTCCACGTCCCGCGCGCCGCGCAACGCCCCCGCGCACCTCCAGACACCCACACATAGCCGCGGGCGATTTTACGAGCACACATGCTTAAGTGTCGCTTCTTTTCGCGTAGTGTATATATTCTGTGACATAGGTTCAATAATTAAATACACTAAAATAGCTTCCACACGATACAATTTTAGGTCCAATTTGATTAGATTGACAATCGAATTGTGTTGTGTGGACGGAAATATGAAATTGAAGGTTGGATGGATTCATTGGATGGTCGGTATCGCCCGATTCGGGATTGCCCAATCAAATTGGGTGGTGTGGACGCTAACTGGCCAACTGTGCAAGCGGGCGTTCAGAGCGGGTGTGTGCGTTGACTTGTCTTTTGAGAAGAAGATGGAGCAACATGACGACAATATTATGTCTATTCGATCTGAACGGGAAGTAATGGAGGAGATTTTAGATATATGTTAAGACTTGCCATGCCTTTGGGATGTGTCTAACCCATTATATAAAAATGAACAAGCAAGGCATAATTCCTTAGAGATTTTGCGGAATAAGTGGGAAAATATTGTTAAAAATATTACTGTTATAATTTTTATTATTTTTAAAGCATGTAACTGCTTGATGTTTAAATCTAAAGAAAATATAACTAGAAAAAAATCCACGCGGACCAGGCAGTTATTTGTTATTGAAAATAAAAAATCATTTAATTAAATTTATATTCTACTCAATGATATGCGCGCATGCTGGGGTAAAAAAGAAATAATATTATATATATTTTTTTATAATTTTTATTTTTAAGCATGTAATTGCTTGATGTTTAAATCTAATGAAAATATAACTACTCGAACCCACACCCTTCGCAATCTGGGCGCATGCACTGACCAATTATGCTACCACGGCCCTCACGGACCGCGTCGAAATTCTTCCAGCCATTCTTAAGTTGCAAGGCAGCGCCATCTCTTCGCATTATAGGTAACCTACAATGTCAAATGAATACTTTTACAAGTATTAAACATTTGAAAAAAGAAATAGCAATTATAGTTACAATTTTTATTATTTTTAAAGCATGTAACTGCTTGATGTTTAAATCTAAAGAAAATATAACTCAGTTATATTTTAAAGGGTTTTCGAAGGGTGCGGGTTCGAGTCCCGTCTGCTGCATGGTCCGCGTGGAATTTTTTCTAGTTATATTTTCTTTAAAAATATTACTCTTTAAGTATAACTACATTTAAGTTTATTAATTGAGTCACTTAAATATAATATAACTACATTTAAGTCCTCAATTGCTTTCTTTTTAATAACCATTGTTTTGTCCACAGTCTTCTTTTTCTTTTTTTCTCATCTACATTTGTAGTTAGAGCCAAGATTAATCCAATTTTTTGCTTCTTGGTAAGAGGCATCCTAATACAAACAAGTCCGTTCAGCAGAGGCAACAAATAAAACTGAAATTGGCGATCTTGTTGTGTATGTGTAGACGGACGACCAGATTGTACCCAATTCAATCGGCAATCAAATTGTGTCGTGTGGAAGGGGTTTTACAATAAATTCACATTATAAAAATCGCAACCATAGGGACTTCATTCTTGTATATGCGGATTACGCGGCAACACCTGAATGACGTTTAAGGTTTATGTTATTTTATGTTGAAATTTCGAATTTTTATACTTATTGATGTTATGTGATCCCAGCGTCCTTGTTATGTATTATTTCACTACATAAACTGGCATTTTACTTTCGATTAGCACCAAATTTTAATAAAACATTCAGTATGTGTACACCTCATACACAACACAACTGTCAGGTTGACTGGCTCGGTGAAAGCTCGGGTATGCCGATTTCGGCATAGTATTTGTTGCCGCAACATACAAGTACGCCGGCGGTATTAACATAATAAAAAATAACCTATTATTCGTTAGTAGGTACATACCTAATTGACTCTGTATTAATTAATCAGCTTGTGATATTGTTGGTTTTGTAATTATAAACGATAACTCTGCATAATTAGAAGCAAATAATATAAAGTTTTATACGTGAAATCACCCCTCCTTAGAAATGATTGCACCATTTACAATACTAGGCTAGTAGTAGCCCGATTGATAGGTGCAAGTACTCTTTACACTTCCAATAAAAAAAGGTAGACCAGAAGTCTGCGACCTTTAATTGGTGAATGCTTTAAAAGAAAAATGACAAAGATATGAATCTATACATTGGGTAATTTGTAACAATTTTTGTTATCACCGGCTATTTCAGGGCTTACATGAGACTCGAAACTTATTTAATTTATAATCAGGGCGCCGTAATACTGTGATTTGAGGGAGATAAATGAAAATGTCTAAAACCGCAGTGAACAAGATATTATATTGTCAAAAAAAAGATTCAGATCTTATTTCATCATGGTTAAAACTTAATACTAGTCACATTCAACTTAATAAATACATAGCTATATTTCCTCAAAGATTTTTCTTTTGATTTAAAGATATTCATACATTCAAGATCATGTGCTAATACAGTAATACTCAATTTAAGTTTCTTATATAAACAAATTATTAAACAAGTTATAAAATATTAAGTTTTGGAAATTTAACAATAAAAATTTGTTATATTCTTATAATGGCTTTACAGTTTACCAATACAAATCCTTTATCACGTTAAACAGAAATTGTTCTCCGGAGTATGCACTGGTTAAATATCAAGAAGTTATAAGTTTTACTTAGCTTGGCAAGATCATGGGAGCATCAGGATGACTCAAATGTCCTCAGGGATGAAGCAGGACTGGCTGTCATCACGTGAACCCGTCACTTTTTGCTCAACAACTTGCTCAAAAGCTTCACAGGCTCATATATATATATTTCCAAGGAGATTCCAATCAGGATCAAGTAATTGTGATTATTACTGTTATTAATTAGCCAAATTAATGGACCTAGAACCAATTACACATTTTTCTATAATTCAATAAAAAAACTAACTGGACCTACAGCCTAACGAATCAAATGTATTGAACTTACCCGTTAATCCGGGGAGAAATATCAAGTAAATAATGCACTGACTACCACTGCTAGTCTTAATGCTATTTTCTAAGTATGGTCTTCAAGGTTCTATCAGCCAAAAGAGACCGAATTTGGTTGTGCACTGCTATTTATAGGCTACTACAACACGTGACAGCGTCATTGCAAATTTCTCTCATATCACCATATTTGGTGCGAGGAATCAAACGGACTGGTTTTGCTGACTCCGCCTCTCACTTTTTCCAGAACATTAATGTGACGTCACATCCAATTTTGCATCTCATTTAAAAAAATTTTACACACTAGCTCCATCTAACTTACATTCCAAATGCAACTACTAGGTTCACACATATATTGTACTTGTCCGTTGCTTTTCAAAGTGGACTACGATATTGAATAATTTATATGCATGATGATAGATGGCGCTGAATAAATAATAATATTTCTACGACTTAATATTTAAGAATTATATTGCTATAATTTAACGTTATTAAATTTAATTGCTACACAACATCCCCCTTATCTCAAAAAATTTTTCCCAAAAAAAATTTTTTTTTTAATTAATTAACCTGCAACTGACTTACAGACAAATCAACAATACTAAGTATTAGCCAAGATAAAAAAATTTAAACTTATATACGTGAGTATCCATTTATTTACTCCACGTAATGTTCTAAACTCTAAGTCAATAGCAACAATTAAATATTTGCTGTTTAATGATTTTTCTTTTAGTTTCATGTAAATACCTTTCTTGGATCTATTATCCAGGGGTATAACATGACTTTTTTTGTTCATCTTATGAACTTAAGGTAGTTAAGAAAACAACTCAAGATTAAAGAAGTTTGTATGTTTTCAAACTCAAAAGATTAAGATTATTTTCCAACAATCTTCCTATCTTTAATTATCAAGTCTAAAGTATATGTCCACTTCCTTATGCTTATGCCTTTCTTACATCAAGACCTATTTTTCTATTAAGTATTAAAATAAATTGCACGTGCTTATTTTGGAAAACACTTTTCATACATCACGCATTTCATACTACTCTCATACTCATATGCATATCAGTAAACACAACTTGACGAAAATAATTTTATCAAAAAATTTTTTTTTGTGTTAAAATATTAAAATTCCTCGAAATTTCATTTAAGCATTTTTTTTTTTTTTAAAGTGACCATATAGGTTAAAAAAGGTTGTAAATAAATATTTATTTAGTTAAAAGAGAAAAACAATTTAATTTTCAGGCAGGTTTCGAACCGTAGCCCACAGATTTCCATATGCACTCTTCCTATACCTTAACTCTTCTTAACCAACCGTTTAATACTGAAAGTGACTAAAATAAGCATCCTATGTGGAATTCAAAGATTTGTTAGTTCTGTTGTTCAGAATATTTTAGTATATCTTTAATATGATAATTACCTAAACATTTACCATTTAAATCGGTTAAAGTATAAACTAAAGGTGATAATTTAGCCGTCACTACACATTTAATAAATTTTGGTGCTAATTTGGAAGAAAAATTCTTTGCCTTATTGGATAAATAATGAGTACGTTTATACACTATCTGGCCAACTCTTAATTCAATGTGTCTTTTTCTGAGGTTATATTGTTTTTCGTTCCGTTGGTGGGCAACAATCAAATATTTCCTCACCTTTTGGAAGATATTATTAAGTTCAAGCAACTTTTTCCCATACTCCAATGTACTGTCTGAGGTAATTTGATCTAACGGACATGGAGGGAAGGAATTTAAATATAAATTACCATCTATTATATACTCTCTACCATGGACTAGGAAATAGGGTGAAAATTTAGTTGCTTCATTCACAGCCGTGTTTAAAGCACATTGCAATTCTATTAAGTGTTCATCCCACCTTCTATGCTCGGATTTTACATAACAGGCTATCGCATGAACTATGTTTCTATTTGCCCGCTCAGCTTGGTTCGTTTGGGGATGATACTTAGGATTGTAATATATGTTTGGTACATTATATTTAGTTAACAGCTGTCTAAAATGGGAGCTAACATATTGTGGACCGTTATCTATAAAGATGGTCTTACAAACGCCATGGACTAAAAATACATATTTTTCTATAAAGTTTGCTACAGCCATGCCTGTTGCTGACCGTATAGGGTGCAACAAGACATATTTACTAAAGTAATCTGAAACAACTATTAAATAAGTATTTCTATTCCCTGAATTTGGAAAGGGTCCCAATAGATCACAACTAATGGCTTCGAATGGCTTGGTCACTTTCTTAGGACTTCCCATGAGACCGGGACGTGGCGTGTTCACAGGTTTGTATTGCTTACACGTCTCACATTCACTCACATACTTTTTCACACATTCGTATAGGTGGGGCCAGTAATAATGTAAGGCGATCCTCCTATGTGTCTTCATGACACCTAAATGTGCACTAGTAGGGTCATCGTGATATTTCCTAAGAATTGCCGATCTATTTTCTTCAGGAACTACCAGTTTCCAATCAAATTCGCTAGTAAGATCATATTTATTTTTCGAATATCTATATAAGTTTCCATCTTTTTCCATGAAATTAGGAAATTTACGTGGGTTATTCTTTACTGCGTTTAACATATAAGAGTACCAACTATCTTTTGATAAATCTATTTCTATTGAATCTAATTTAATACGTGACAAAGTATCCGGGAGGATATGATCCCGACCCTTCCGGTGTTCTATTTTAAAGTTAAATTGACTAAGACGCATGCTCCATCGTGCTAAACGACCTGTGGGGTTTTTTAATTTATAAAACCACAACAGTGAAGCATGGTCTGTGACTATGGTACATTCCTGACCTTCAACATATTGTCTAAATTGTTCTAATGCATAAATAACAGCTAATAATTCTCTCTCTGTTGTACTATAATTAACTTCATTTTTATTAAGTGAGCGGCTACAGTAGGCAATAGGGTGTTCCACTCCGTCATAAGACTGGGTGAGAACGGCCGCCGCTGAGTATGCAGATGCGTCAGTCAAAATACGGAAAGGGCGCGAATAATCTGGCATTTTTAAAATAGGGGCAGAAACAAGGGCAGTTTTAAGCAAATTAAAGGATTTCTGTGCCTCAGAGTTCCATTCAAAATCCACATTCTTACGGGTGAGTTTACATAACGGTTTGCTGATTTCAGAGAAATTATTCACAAATCTTCTGTACCAACCTGCCATTCCAAGGAATCTTTTTACCTCCTTGGGGTTCGAGGGTGTAGGATAGTTAAGGATTATATCTACTTTACCAGGGTCCGTTCTTAAACCATGTTTATCAATGTAATACCCTAAATATTTGAGCTCTTTGCGACAAAACTGTGATTTTTTTTTATTTATTGTCAGGCCTGCTTCTTTCAGGCGCTGATATATTTTCTCTAGGAGCTCAATATGTTCTGAGAAAGTGTTACTAATGCAAATTATATCATCTTGAAAAGCAAATACCTTATTATCGAATTCTGGGCCAAATAATTTATCCATTAAGCGTTGCATGGTTGCTGACGCCCCTACTAACCCAAAACACATCACATTAAATTGAAATAAGCCTCTACGAGGAACTGTGAAAGCTGTCTTTTCAGCAGATGCTGCAGAGTCATAAGGAATCTGCCAATATGCGGCACTAAGGTCAATTGAGGTTAAATATTTAGCGTTGTTAAGATGATCTAATATTTGGTTAATATAAGGCAAGGGATAAGCGTCTGGTTTTGTGACGTAATTAAGTTTTCGAGAGTCTAGGCATAATCTGGTTTCACCATTGGGTTTTTCTACCATTACTACTGGAGAATTCCAAGCCGATTGGGAAGGAGAAACTACCCCCAGGGCTAACATTTTATCTAATTCCTTCTCGAGTGCTAGTTGCTTGATAGGTGATAAGGGATAATAACGCTGTTTAATCGGACTATGGTTACCAGTATCTATTTTATGGTGTTCCAATGAAGTTCCACCAAGACCAACCTTTTCTGTGTTAATTAAGTCAAATTTATCAATTATTTTATTAATTATTCGCTTTTGCGCCGTCGTTAAGTTATTGTAATCTTCTAACCCGTTTTTTAATGATATTGAGTTAATAGGATTTTCTGAGTTTAAAGTGATATTACTAAAGTTGGATGACATCAAGTTTTTTGTCAAACCAAAATGGTGCCAAAAATCAATACCTAATATGATTGGTGTAGTAATTTCCGGAACAACATAAAATGTAATTACCTTAAGTATTGAGTTATATTCAATGGGCAGAGACATGTACCCTACGCAATGCAATTCAGTGCTATTAGCGGTTTTTACAATACGCTCTTTATCTAAAGTGTTAAGTTTAAAGCCTAAATTCAGAAAGATGAGGTGCGAGTTTTTGCCGAGTATCGAGCATGACGCACCAGAGTCAGCAAGTCCTAACGCATCTACATTTAATATTTTAAATTGCAAATAAGGTCTATTGTCAAACTTTTTCTTATGGAAGAGAACTTCACGGTTATTTAAGTTAATGTGTGACCTTTTTTTACCGTAATTATATGTGAAGTTCCCACTTTTTAGTTTTTTGAATTATTACTTGGATTACATTGTGGGCACTCAGGTCGTCTTACGCCCTTTTTACCACACTTAAAACAAAGAATTTCTCTCGAATTTACACACTCTCTAGTGAAATGCTCTCGACTCTGACATCTCATACACCTCCTATCATTTGAGACATTTTGAGGTAAAGTTACGGTTGAGATCTGTCGGGTTGGTTTGAAATTATTTTTTATTCTTCGTGACTGAAGGTCATTCGAAATAAATAATTTATTCAAATTGGGTTCCGTAAATTTCTCTGCACGGACTTGAGCCAATTCCAAGCGCTTTCCTAATTGTTTTAACGTAAGAATAGAATCAACGTTATGAAGAGCCAACTCTTTCATATATTCCGGACGAATATTATGCATTAAAATTTCTAGCTGTTCTTCTAATGACATGGGAATAGACAATCTCGCAAACATTCCTTGCATCGTGGAGATATAGCTCACAATTGACTCTTGTCTAGCTTGTGTGCGTTGTCTAATTTCGTTTTTAAGTCGATAATCTAAATCCGGAATATCAAAATCCTCTCTTAAGTGTAACAATAGATCAGAATATGAGTTAAAGTTCGCTTTGTTACTTCTAAACCATGCCAATGCAGAATCTTCTAAGAGATCGGAAAATGCTGTCAGTATACGAGATTGCGGAATCTCGCGGGCCTGTCTAAGTTCCTCTAACCTCTCAATAAAACTTCTAACGCAACCTGAACCATTATATTTTAAATTAAGTGAATTTAAGTTAATTGGTTTTTCTTTAATGACGATTAATTCCTCACTTCCATTCTTTTCATTCATCCCTGTTTTCGAGATAGGCAACACATATTCATCCGTCTCTTGTTCCCTCACATCCTTCATGCCGGTTTTACTACACTTGGGAGTACCTTCCTTATCACTTAATTCGTCTGAACTACTTTCATCTTCCTGTTCTACTTGAGCTAAGATACGTATGAGCCTGTGGCGCAAATCCACAAGAGAAGCATTGTCAACCTCCAATCGAGCAAGTCTATCGATTAGATAATTAGCCCTAACTGACACACGTAAGTGAAGATTACTGTCCTTTCCGAGGTCACCTGATGACAGCAGATCCTCGAGCTCAGCAATTTTCGGCGTACAGGCCTTGAGCTCGCTTGCCGGGAGTGGTGTGATCACTGGAGCACACTTGATGCTGCCACGTCTCTTCAGCTTAAAAATTTGGCGAAGCTGCTTTCTCAGTGCATCCACCGATGTGTCAGGAGCTGTGGAAATGCCAAGAATATCCAATTCATATATGATTTCATCCTTTCTTAAGTAGTTTACATATTTTTGTAAAGAGAGCATTTTCTCAGATTTTTTCAAGTTAAAGTCAGTTATTTCTGTTACTAAGTTAATTATTAAGTTAATTATTAAATTACGTTTAATCAAGTTTTTAAATCAAGCTACTTATTCAAGTTATTTAATCTAAGAAAGTTAAATACAAAGGAATTTATAATTTTTTTTTTTTTTTTTTTTGAAGGAGGGTACTTTTATTATTACAAGTTTCAATTCTTAAAGACTATCTTGTTCACTGTTCAAGGTCAATTTTTTACACATCCAATCAATACGAAAGTGTTATTCTAGTATAAGTTGATTAATTCTAATGTGCTAAGTTAATTAATGCTAGTGTGTTTTTCAGACTGGTTGGGGATTTAAGCATCTATGTTTCCACCAACCTTTTTATCATCATTTAGACACACTAGTATTCCAAGAGTATTGTTTATTAAAGTTTTCTAAGTTATTAAGTAATTTACTTCTAATGTGCTATTCAGACTGATTGGGGATTTTAAGCATTAAATTTTTCCACCAATCTTTTTATCATCATATCAGCACACCAGTATTTCCCTCAAATACAGTATTTTATTGCTCGGCCCTAAAGTTGGTCGCCATTTTGTAACAATTTTTGTTATCACCGGCTATTTCAGGGCTTACATGAGACTCGAAACTTATTTAATTTATAATCAGGGCGCCGTAATACTGTGATTTGAGGGAGATAAATGAAAATGTCTAAAACCGCAGTGAACAAGATATTATATTGTCAAAAAAAAGATTCAGATCTTATTTCATCATGGTTAAAACTTAATACTAGTCACATTCAACTTAATAAATACATAGCTATATTTCCTCAAAGATTTTTCTTTTGATTTAAAGATATTCATACATTCAAGATCATGTGCTAATACAGTAATACTCAATTTAAGTTTCTTATATAAACAAATTATTAAACAAGTTATAAAATATTAAGTTTTGGAAATTTAACAATAAAAATTTGTTATATTCTTATAATGGCTTTACAGTTTACCAATACAAATCCTTTATCACGTTAAACAGAAATTGTTCTCCGGAGTATGCACTGGTTAAATATCAAGAAGTTATAAGTTTTACTTAGCTTGGCAAGATCATGGGAGCATCAGGATGACTCAAATGTCCTCAGGGATGAAGCAGGACTGGCTGTCATCACGTGAACCCGTCACTTTTTGCTCAAGAAAGCTTCACAGGCTCATATATATATATTTCCAAGGAGATTCCAATCAGGATCAAGTAATTGTGATTATTACTGTTATTAATTAGCCAAATTAATGGACCTAGAACCAATTACACATTTTTCTATAATTCAATAAAAAAACTAACTGGACCTACAGCCTAACGAATCAAATGTATTGAACTTACCCGTTAATCCGGGGAGAAATATCAAGTAAATAATGCACTGACTACCACTGCTAGTCTTAATGCTATTTTCTAAGTATGGTCTTCAAGGTTCTATCAGCCAAAAGAGACCGAATTTGGTTGTGCACTGCTATTTATAGGCTACTACAACACGTGACAGCGTCATTGCAAATTTCTCTCATATCACCATATTTGGTGCGAGGAATCAAACGGACTGGTTTTGCTGACTCCGCCTCTCACTTTTTCCAGAACATTAATGTGACGTCACATCCAATTTTGCATCTCATTTAAAAAAATTTTACACACTAGCTCCATCTAACTTACATTCCAAATGCAACTACTAGGTTCACACATATATTGTACTTGTCCGTTGCTTTTCAAAGTGGACTACGATATTGAATAATTTATATGCATGATGATAGATGGCGCTGAATAAATAATAATATTTCTACGACTTAATATTTAAGAATTATATTGCTATAATAATATTGAATAAATAATAATATTTCTACGACTTAATATTTAAGAATTATATTGCTATAATTTAACGTTATTAAATTTAATTGCTACACATATTGATAATAAATGGGATTGCTATGGTGCTGTACCAAAAATGCTATGAAAATTTTATTCTGCGCCTTAAATTTCATTTAATCAAATATTATAAACTGCTTTGTTTTAATATAAGGCTTTCCCCAGAAATCTAGAGAAGACTGAACAACCAATCATAAAATTTACTACCTATACAAACTTTTGGCCATACAATTGCTTTGTTTTCACACATGTATCTGCTCAATTCTACTATACAGTTGAAGAGAGAATGCTCAGTCCATTTTCTATGTCTATGGCTTTTCTGGCAAATAAAATGTTCTTAAGATTTATTAATAATAAAACAAATTTTCCCCTGTATTATTTTTGACCTTACACACTTAGATATTAAGGTATATATTATATCAGTGACAGGTTGTCTATATATATATAAAACAAATTTCATTAAAGAATAATTTACTGACTATTAGTAGGCTGTTCTTGAGTCATTTCATATGCTCTTTCCAATGTATCTGTAACAATTTTCATATCATTTTCAATGCTTCGTGCCCAATTTTCGACATCACCAATTTCTTTCAATGCACTGCTAAAATTTTCCACGAGAGCTAACCACTGTTGTGTTTGTTTTGCAAAGTTTATGGCTCCCTGATGCAGTAGTTTCGCTTCAGCATCAAGTTTCTTTTGATTTAAATAAGCTTGAGCCACACTGAAATTAAGAATAAATAGTAGTTATTTATGGATATGTCTAACATAGTCAATTATATTTAAGATGCATTTGACGTTACATTCTCATACTCATACAGTGTAGTTCAAAGATCAACATGACGAAGTAAATATTATAATCTAGATTTTAAAACTCTTAAGTTTCATGAAATGCTTATGTTCATTCTTCTTATGAGGAATATTTAAAGTGTATCAGTGCCATCAACCTCTTCAACACTAGGTCTAGAGTTCCAGATAGCGGATTGGGTGCCAAATTGCAATATAAAGAGAGCAAGTGAAATCTTTCACTATGAAAGGAGGGATGCATTGTGAAAAGTGAAGATAATTTCTTTTTTTAAACATTTAAATTGAACTTGATCTTTCTAAAGATTTTTTTTCTAGAATAATCCTGTCTGACACCAGTACTGATTGGAATTTTTCTAGTAGTTTTCTTATGTGAAGTTTGGCAAAGAACTAATGTCTCAAATAAAAGATTAAGAATGTTGGGGTCACTGAATTATTAATCACAGGGGAGCTGGAATAAAATAAGAATAAATTTAGACTAGTAAAAGTGTTTTGTTTGTGTTCCAATGAACACACACAAAGCTAAATTAAACTATACAAATGTCTCAATTTGAGTGCTGTTAATAAAATACTACTGGTACTTTTTTCTACTAGTCGTTACTAGTTTTAAGTAGATAATCAGTTATTTTAAAATATCTACCCAACGTTAAGGTGATCGACAAGTGCTTGAGTTAGGTCATTGGCAGCTGCAATACATTCTTTTCGCTTTTGTTCTGGAAATATAAAGGAGATTATTTATAGTTCATTTATTTGAATGAAAGATATACACAATAACTAATATTAAAGATAATTTGTCAATCGGCAAGGGAAAATTGTACCTTGAACCACTCTTTTTGCAGCTTGTTTTGTTTGATGATCTTTTATTAGTGACGATAGCATTTTTGTGTAAAATACGACTGAAGAGATTATCAGTTGGGTCTTTTTACTGCTTATACATTAGTTATAAATGTTTTTGTTTATAATTGTATTGTAATTAATTCCACATAAATCTCCGAGAATCACAGATACTTTTTGCTCTGAGACAACACAAAACAAATCACTTTTTTTTGTAATATTTTTCCCATCTTGGGAAAGGCAAAGGCAGAACCATGCAGCCATAGTCTTCATTTAACAGTTTTTTTGTGAAATTTTCTTTTTTCTATAAGGCCGAAGCTACTTCTTCAATCATAAAATATTTGTCCTAAATAGTCTGTTTCCAATCCATTTTCGGTTCAGGTATTTATTTTTTCACCCAAATTTTCATTGCAAATCACGTCATATCGACGACGACGTAGTTTGTCTATAAAGTAGTGACATTAAATGATGGCGCCACTAGTATGCATGTAGCAATCCTATACAGTCGGACCAAAATGATTTTGATACTAGCAGTTCATTCAAGTAAAATAGGTAATTAATAAGACACACTATGCAGTAGTATTTTGTTCCTGTTTTATATATAGTAGAACGTACCTATGCTTATAAAAAGTTTAGTTTACATTTAATTGAATAAAATTATTAAAGATAAAATAGAACTTTATAGTGTAAAAGTGTGTAATGTTGGTGATTACCGCTGAGGTGCCATTGAGACCAGAGCCGTTAGGTAATCATCAATACACACAAGTATCATCATACGACGTTTTTTAACACACTTGTTAAGAAAATAATACTAAAAATCATTTTATAGTATATAAAAAGTTTATCTAAAGAAACAATTTGTAAATGTGCAGTTAGTAAAATTAGTGATAGGCCAGATACCTATCTGGTGTTGCTAGACACATGAATAATGTTAGTTCCTCAAACATTCATGTCACGACTTTATAGACAAACTAAACGTATTTTTTTTAACATTAGCATGACGGTGTGACACATTCTAATGTTTCTTGAAGTATTTGGCACGAAATGTATCGTGTTGGCTTTTTCGATAAGCTTCTGTGAGGTAGTCAATGGTGCCAATTCTGGCGCGATTCTCTAAACTTAAATCTAAATTTAACATCAGTCTCTCCTTTTCATTCTGTATAGAGAATGACAAGGATATACTGCTGTCAAATTTAAGTTTAGGTTTAGAGAATCATGCTAGAATCGACACCAATACTACAATAAAGTTCTCACGTCCACTTGCTACAATTAGAATTCCACTAATTCTTCAGTTGCTTAGACAGACAGACAAATTCACACCTATTTTATTTAACAATAACCACAATGAACGAATTTAAGAATAAATAAAATAAGACGCCAACCGCACACGATAGAATCCCGCCAAAAACCCACAAAGATATAACATATTTGACAGACTATAGGCTAATTGACACTTTTTGGAAATAGGTTTTAAATGGTAATTAATTGTCTTATTAGACCGAAAAAAATGTATTTAATTTATTTTTACTTAAAAAGCTACAAAACTTTAATTTTAAAATAGATTTTTCATGCGAACACAAAAACGCTGTCGGCCATTTTAGTTTATAGATTTATCTATGATATGACGTCAAAATATTTGTAAACAAACACCCCACATAAGGAATAACCTGACTTTATCAACGTAGTTTACCTATATTGTAAAACCTTGATTTCTAATAGATTACACCAAAAATACAAAGGTGTCGATTCTGGCGTGATGCTCTAAACTTAAAATGAAATTTAACATCAGTCTCTCTTTTTCATTCTGTATAGAGAATGACAAGGAAACACTGTTGTCAAACTTAAGTTTAGATTTAGAGAATTGTGTCAGAATCGACGCCAGTAATTATTATAATTTTATTGTACGAGAATGTAGGAACACATCGTTAAAGACTCCAGAAAAGATGTGGTTTGAATTGCCTAGAGAAGTACGCATACCTACACATGACCACAATTTTAAAACTTGCTAAATCCTGTAACTTTCTTTACTAACTTTAAATTAAATATATATTATAATAACAGATTAGTTGTCTATCTCAACAGCTCACAACACAGGACGAAACAATAGTTTTTTCGCTTACCCAAGTCCGGCGGGAGATTACCAGGTGAAAACGCGGAAGGCTCCGGGCCTGGATGAAATTTCAAACACGACACTGCGTCACCTACCACCGGAAACGATAGCAGCCCTTAAGTAGCGTAAGGGCGTTAAACGCCTGTGGCATTGACATAATTATAACAATATAAGGGCTTGTGCCACAGTAACTAGATACTCTCTCACACGGCGAAAGGGCCGGCGGCGTAAGGGCGTTAAACGCCTGTGGCACTGACATAATTATAACAATATGAGGGCTTGTTCTTCTGCAGGAGGCAAGTCCTAGGGCACCCTACCGAAAGATCACAAGAGAGAGTTATGGCATGCGCAGCGCTATGTCTGGACGGAGCTGGAATAGTGGCTGAGCCAGATGGAAGACTTTCCACAGAAGTGCCATATAAGTGGGCGTCGCGGCTCGTGCATGTGGGCGCACGCATGCACGGGTTGCGTGGGGAGCAGGCGACGGCCTTGACACTCATGCTCACACCGCTCTGCAGGAGCGTAGGAGATACATGGGAGAAAGTCATGTTAGGAAATCTCCGCATCGTTTAGACAGCTGACGTAGATACTTGAGTTAACATGGGTAATTGGCCTACAGATAATCTTGATACTTATTTATGACAATATTTATGTGTTCTATTAATCTTGGAATCATACTTTTGTGATGGTGTGACTCCGGGGCTTAGTGGCACCACGCAGTGGTGTCATAACTTTGTCTATACTTACAGATGGAGTAAGAAAGTGATGAGAGGCTTGGACGGACATTCGCTGGTGATTGAAGGTACATACAATATAATCTGTGGTAAGTAACTACCCTTTGTCACTCGATTCTCCCTTTGTCACGTGTCTATCGTCTACAATGGATACGTTTGTATCATGGATATGGGTTGCCTGTGGCAGCCCCGCCCCCAAGAGGGTCGCGACACAGGGTAAAGACCCCACGCAGCCCAGCAGCTGCCGACGGATCACCTTACTACCCACCGCTTCAAAGTAAAATTCAGTAAAATATCCAATTTTAAATATTTAATATACTTTCCCTCCGTGTGAGGTAGCCGTGGGACGTCCTGTATAAATATATATATATATATATATATATATATATATATATATATATATATATAGGTATATATGTGTTATGGGTGGCCCAACCCACGCGACAACACAACCACAACCAACCCAATATCGAACGTCCTATCCTCCCTCACCTAAGACCACCGCCTGCTCGCAGGTCGCTCACCAGGCCTCCCGCATGGGTCTCACTCGATGGGCTTGACCGCGCTGAGGGAAGGTGAAGAGTGAGGAGGACGGACCCCGACGACCACTCCGTCCAGAAGATGGAGCGCGAACACGCTACAGCTGAAGTGGACTAACCGGTTCAGAACAGTTTCCCCCAGAAATAACAAAGATGCGAGCTTGAATTTCGAACTGTCATAACTCTTTGACGCATGCGTTTTAACGAAGACCTTATACATTTTCGATTGTGATTTTAATAATACAGTATATATATATATATATATTTTTTAACACACACCAATTAGCCTAGCCCCAAAGTGCCCCATAAGGCTTGTGTTATGGGATGCTAGGGTAACGGATAGAATACATATACTGTACATATATTTATATAGAAATAGATAATAAACATCCATGACTGGAGTACAAATGCTCGTATTCATCACACAAACATCTGCCCCCACCGGGATTAGAACCCAGGACCTCTCGAGTTGGCGACACCATGAAACCCGGCGTACAAACCACTCGGCCACGGAGGTCGTCATTATGTCATACAATATGCCGGTGATGTTCAATGTTTAAATGATGCCTTAAATTGTTTTTGACCACGCGATCATCGTACGGAGCTCTATGGATCGTCAGATGTACCTGTACGACCGGTTTTGGCCACTCTTTTGTTCGTGATGCTGTATCTAGGGTATTTACTATCGTTGGGTACGAAGTTCGCCGAGTCAGCTAGTATTCTATACATTCATAAATCGCGCAGATTGCGTACGGTACTCTAGTTAGCCGCTGTCTTGGGGGGCGGGGAAAAGGTACGTACCTGTATCTGGTGTAGCGTGTCGTGTGTAGACCGGGTCGGGTGTGCAAGTTAGCTAGCTGGGTTGTGTCAGTTATTGTGAACTGTGTGCGAGGAATCAGAGGCGCGTTGGAGCGGGTGATTTCGTCGTGGGTGTACTCTAAGACGTGCCTAGGCCGACGGAATCGGAGGGACCTATGACTGGAGGACAGGAGGGCAGACGTGTGATAACTAATGGGTTTCACTACTAATGGGTCGGATGATGCACGGCTTTATCGAAGTAACTTCTCGAGGCGTCCTTCATATACTTCGCGATGGAGTCTTACTTGAGATCGCGATGCAAATCGATGTTGTGCACGTACCAAGGGCAACCCGTGGCACCGCGCAACACACGATTTTGCAGCGTTTGTAATGGATTTAAGATGCGACGGAGGTACTTGTGCGAAGTAAACACTCGCGTAGGTCATGATAAGGCGGATGCGAGTAGAGGATGGGAGAGAGTGGCGAGCCCTGAGGGACGCCGGCGCGTATAGCGCAAGGCGAGGAGAGCGTTCCTTCGACGCGATAGCGAAACGAGCGATTCGACAAAAAGTCCTTCGTGATGAATACGAGTTTGTCCGGCACCCCGAGTTTGTATAGCTTATAAATTAAGCCATTATGCCAGACTTTGTCTAATGCTTTCGCTACCTGCCAGCCGAGTTCGTCGCTACAAATGTCGCTGCGATTTTGAAAATGGCGCAGTGGTGTATAATATGCGGAATAAGTAAAATCACAAAAAATCTATAACTCTCTTTGTACAATATCATCAATTTAGCATCTGTTGGTTGTAATTCTATTGCAGCAACAAACATTCTGCACTTTATATTTCCCTCTGTAGATGTATATTTTATTACGACGAATTCATCGCTTTCGATAAAGATAGTAAGCCAATCACAAACATAGATCAAAATGGATAACGCAAGTGTATGTACTTCGCGTGCATATTGCAAAAAGGGTGACCAAACTAGGGATATTCATTTTATATCGATTAATCGAATTTTTCGATATTTACCATACGATATATCGAGTGAATCGATGTTTTGACAAAGATCTTTGTTATTTGATAT